GGGGACTGGGCAGGTAGCGCGCTGTGGGAGGAGGGAGCGGGCAGCTGCGGTCCTCCCACTTGGGCGCCGGCGAGCGGGAGCCAGGAGGCGGCGGGGGTGGCAGCTGGGTCCCTCCAGCTCCGCCGCCCCTCCCTCCGCTCCCGGGGGCGGTGCTCGGGCCGCCGGTCTCGGCGTCGTGGTCTTGCCCACAGCCCCGCTCCCTTCGCGGGTCCCCTTGAGCGGACTGGGGCGCCCTGCCCGCCGTGAGCCGCCCGTTCCAGCTGGAGATGGGGATTCAGCCCCGTGCGGATGCTCCGGCCGCCCTCCCTGCTCGCGGCTCCGGCCCAAAGAAACCCGCGGTTGAGAGCTCAGCTTGCAGGGCAACACCCATGAAGACCGGCGTCATCTCCTCGGTAGGGCTGTGTACGAGGGGCGGACAGCCCGGACTCCTGTCTGCGTGCTCTTGGATTCCAGGGTCCTCATCCGTAAAACAGAGATGTGAGGATTGCAGAGCAATGTATATAAAGCCCTTAAACAGGGCCCGCCCGGGGTAAGCACCGTTTGAGTTTTAGTTCACAATTATAGACACTACTTATTAGGCCCTTACTACGTACCAGGCACTGTGCTAAGCCTTTAGCACAAAACGGCTTGATTAGTCCTCTCTGCCTGGTCTGGGAAGCTCCATGAGCCGCATTCTAGGCATGAGAAGGTTGAAGCTCAGAGAAGCTAAGTCATGTGCTCAAGGTCACACAGCAGGTAAGAGACAAAGGCTGGATTTGAATCCAGCCTCCACACAACCCAGTATCACGCTGGGACCCAGGGGCAGCTTGGATTTGAGAGAAGAAAAAAAAACAGAGGGGTTTATCCAGACACAGAGCTTGAACCTGGAAACTTCTGCTTCGATCCTCATTCCCATCTCCCTGTTCCTATTTCTGTTCCCTTCCCAGACTCCGCTCGTCCGAGGTGGGTACTGTGAGGCACCAGAAGGGTAGTAACACCCGTGTGTGTAAAGTGGGGGGCGGGGGAGGGAAGCAGAGAGAGCCTTAAGAACACCAAGCACTGCAGGAACACTGCTGCCATGGCTGTCCTCAGTTTCCTGGGCCGTCACAGCTCATCCACCTGCCCTGTTCCATGCCTCTGGGTGAAGGCAAACATAATAAATAAAATAAGTGCTTATTGCTTTCTCAACCAGTTGGTTAAAACAAGAGCAATCCCTTGAAATGAGAGTCATACGCTTATCAGCTCAGCCTCTATGTTTGAATCATCAGACACTGTTTTCTCTGCATTTTATCAGCGTACATCCAAATAAAAAGGTGGCCGGGAAACCTTTTCATGTTCCTGAAGGATCCTACATACAAGTGAAAGAACAGCCTGCCACAATGTGGCCTCTGAGAAGCTGGTAGCCCTGGGAGGACCCGTGGCCACAGGACAGACACTGGGGAGCACAAATGTCCTTTTCTCTTCAGAGCAGCTTTGTAGCACAGTCATGACCATCTAGCCCTTTTCACAAGCTCTGCCAGCCTCTCACACTGGCTTGGGAGGGAGGAAGCCTGGCATGCTTGGTTTTGGCTATATTGATTGAAGATCTCCATTCCCTAAATACCTTGGGAGTCAGGCGGTATTTCTAATTTTATTTTACATATGGGTGTGTGGTGGGAAGGTGTGCGTCGGAATTTGTGTGTGTGAGGGGAGGGAAAGAGAGAGAGAAGCTAAGTGAATGTGGGAAGATGTCAGTGGAGGAAGGGAGCATTCAGCGGGGGAAGAGGAGACCTGGCCATGGAAACACAAATGGACAAGAACAATT